TTCTTCATCCCACTCGAACTTGGCTTTTAACGCTTGAAAAAATGGTCGTAGTCTGTCTGACGACTGGCTAATGAATCGGTTGAGTGCAGCTGCCATGCCGGTGAGATGCTGCACTTCCTTTATTGAGTTAGGCCTCTTCAGATCCTGAATAGCTTTGACCTGGGAGGGGTCTGCCACTATACCCCGGTTGGTCACCAAGAAGCCTAGGAATTTACCAGATCCTATTCCGAACGCACACTTAGATGCATTAAGGCGCAACTTGTGCCTCTTCAGAATCTGGAACATCTCACCTAGGTCCCTTAGATGGTCATTCTTATCCTTGCTCTTGACCACCATGTCGCCAATGTAAACGCCCATTGTTTTGCCTAACAATGGTTCAAACATCCTAGTGACCATCCGTTGGAATGTTGCCCCTGCATTTTTTAGGCCAAAGGGCATGACCTTGTAGCAATACAGCCCTCTTGGAGTTGTAAAGAACGTGACCTCCTGGTCTGGTTCGTACATGGTGATCTGATGGTAGCTTCTGTATGCATCCAGAAAGCTAAGCCGGTTGTGCCCCGCTGTTAGGTTTACCAATTGATCTATCCGTGGTAGGGGGAAGCTGTCCTTTGGGCATGCTTTGTTGACTGTCTTATAGTCGACGCAGACACGCCATTTGCCATTCTTTTTTGGCACCACGACTGTGTTGGAAATCCATCTGGGGTAGTGCACCTCTCTGATAGCTCCTGCCTCAAGAAGGTTTCCCACTTCTTTCGCCACTATCTTGGCGTGGTGGAGTGCTGATCTGCGAGTGCGCTGTATGATTGGTCTTGTAGTTGGGTGGACATTCAATTGGTGACAGATGAAGTTTGGGTCAATGCCAGGCATGTCATACGGCGTCCAGGCAAACACTTCGATGTTAGAGGTCAAGAATTCCAAGACCTCTAATCTCTCAGTGCTGGACAACGACGAACCGAGCAAAAGAACTTTATCCGGGTTCTTTTCATCTATTCTTACCTCTTACCAAGTCTTCCACTGCTTTCTGATTAGCTGTTCTGCCGACATCTGCGAACAGTTCATTACTCTCAGGTTCTTCCACCGAATGTACATATCCCTTGGCAGCGCGGCTGCCGTTAGCCGTGGCAAAGCATTGCTTGGACATAATCTGGTTTCCAAAGACCTCTTCAATTACTCCGGTTCCGTTGGGAAACCGCATTACTTGATGGTAGGATGATGCTACTGATTTCATGGCATGGAGCCATGTTCTTCCCAAGATTATGTTGTAAGTGGAAGGGTCTTTCAATACCCAAAATTCCACTTGTTTTGTCACGCTTCCTGTTCTGACTGGCAGTATAATTTTGCCGACTGGCCACTCTGGCATTGAACTGAATCCGATCAGGGGGGATACAGCTGGTGCCAGGTCTTTGTCCTCTAATTTTAGTTGTTTGAAGGTGTCGTAGTACATTATCTCACACGAGCTACCTTGGTCTATCAGAATTCGCTTGACGTCACAATCCTTGACGCAGAAGGTGACGACCAGTGCATCGTTGTGAGGGCAATATATTCTTTCCAAGTCCTTGTCTGAAAAAGACATGACGTTCGTGACCTCCGTTCTCCCCTTTTTGATGGTAAGTTGGGCACTTAGTACCTCCCTTAAGTGCTCAGCCTTCTTGATCGACCCTCTGAGCTCGCATACACGCTCAGGTTCGAATACTCCATGTATCACATTGATCACACCTTGAGGTGGGGCGTCAATTGGCATTCCATTGGGGTTATTATGGTCCTGGGGGGCTGGTTGCGTCCTTCCTTCAATGTATTTATCCAGGTGACCGGCTGCCACCAACTCCTCCAGATGCTGTCTCAATGGCATGCAATTTTCAGTGCGGTGTCCCTTTTCTTTGTGGAAGGTGCATCGCGACCTTTCGTCGTAGTCTTGCTGTGCTTCTCCTAGCTTAGTTGGCCATCTGACGAAAGGTTCATCGCGTATTTCGCTCAGAATCCGGTAGATCGGTTTATTGAATACGGTGGTTATGACTGTGCGAATTCTCAACCATCTTTTATCCTGGTCCTCTCCGTTGTCTCGCCTGCCTCGTCCGTTTTTGTTCGGACGTTCTACCGCGTTGATCTTTGCTGTGGTCTTTTTATCTGGTACTACGGTCGTGCCAGATTTTGTTTTGGCACGGGCGCCATCCTCTTCTATCCTGATGTGCTGATGCACTCTTTTCATCAAGGCCACCATGGTGAGGGGCGGTGTCATGGTGATTGAGTCCCTTAGTCTGTTTCCTACTGGAAGGCCTCTTTTGTACTGTGCAATGGCGAGATTGGTGGGGCAATCCCCAATCTGGTTGAATGTCTCCCAGTAGCGACTATTGCAGGATCTTAGTGTCTCCTTTTCACCCATGTCGATGGAGAGTAATTGGTCAATCTCCACTGGGGTTTTGGTGTTCGTTCTGAACCTTGTGACGAACGCCTCCGCCAATTGTGCCCAGGAGGCTATGCTGCCTTCTGGAAGTTTTTCGAACCAAGTTAAGCCTAGGTCACCAAGGCTTGATGGGAAGAGGATGCACATCAAAGCTTCGTTTCGCCGATATACCGCCATAACTTGGCAGAAGTGGCTTAGGTGTATGTATGGGTCTATCTTCCCCTCGTACGTGGTGAATTTGGGTTGAAGGAAACCTGAAGGAAGGGGCGCGTTTTCAATTGCTGGAACGAACGGCGATGTCTACAGCCTTGCTAATGCTTTGTCTGTTGGTTCGTAGGCAGGGCGTGACGACGGCATTCCGACGTTGACGCTTCCATGCGTCCGAGGAGCCAACAGCTGAAGGGCAGATACCCTGCGAGGGTTACGCGTCCTAGTGTCCTCCTTCCTTCGTGCCTTTTCTTCTAACATGTTCCGCAAATCGGACGATCTTGGCAACTCCGTCTGCCTGGATGATGTCTGGTGCGAGCGTGAGGGTCGATAGGTACTTCCCTCAGTGTAAGACCTCAATGATCTCGTTCTCTCAGACCTGGAGTAACGAGTTCTGGAGGTTCTGGATTGAGTATCGCCTGTCCTGAGGCTTCTACTCTCTGCTTGTGATGGTGTGGAATGCCTTCCACGGTCTTCTGAACGGCGAGGATGCGTCTTGCTTTTGCGCCCCTCTCCTGTCGCCACTCCTTTTCCCTTCATCTGGCGCTTCATGGCCTCCATGTCCGCCGCCATCTTCCTTATTAATTCATCTTGCTCCTTCACGCGGTCCTCCAGAACTTGAGGATCAATTCTCCGCCTTTGTCTGTCAGAACTTCGTGAACGAGAGTGACGGGGGCTGTTAGTCCGCCTCCTTCTCCTTGTATCCCTCCTGGGATTTTGTCGCTGTGGCTCTAAGTCCGCCATGGGAGGGATAAAAGGTAGGCCTTCGCGTCTTGGCCCCCCTTCTGGTGTTTGTCCGTCGATGGCGGACTGCGGCAAATCTTCATTGTGCGCCATTGCTTCTAAAGAGGAAAAGCTTGATTAAGAGGTTTTGTTCTTGTATGAATTCCCACAGACGACGCCAATTGTACGGGAAAGAAATAAACCTTCTCGTATAATCCTGTTGATCAAGTCCGCGTTTCTCCAAACGTTGTCGCTTTACTCCCTGAAAACACAAACGTGAGCTAACCGGCGGGTGTGTGCCGGAAACCCCTCCGATGCCTAAGTCAGCAAAATAGACAAGTAGACAAAAGCTCTGTGTATTCAGGAATCAAAGTTGTGTTACCTCTCCATAGGTGATGTTGGTGAGCTTTTATAGGTTCTGTGTGGCACAATCCAAGTAGGACTCTTACTCTTCCATGTAGAGTCCTCCTAGGATTCATGTTCCTGAAAGATAATGTCTATTCTTCAACACCCCCTCACTGTTTAAACCAAGTGAGATGGTTTTAGCATGGTCAGACTCCAATGTGGCCGAGGTACGCATGGCTATGCTTAGCCGTAGAACTGACCGAACTATCCTTAGTTTGGTTCGTTCTTTTACTGCCCTTACCTCAGTTCCTCCTGTACAAACCGTGGTAGGTCTAAACCGAGCTAACTTTTAGCAAGGTTTAGATCGAGCTAACCATACTGCGCCATAACCGGTATAAGTTTTCGTATGGTGACCGAGTTAACCTCCTTGGGACCGGAGTAACTTTACACTTCTCTTGGGCCGTAGTAACTTTACACCTCTCTTGGGCCGGAGTAACTTCATGGCCTTTTTACTCAGCCCTTCGCACTGTGGCCCATAACGGTCCATTACCCAGCTAGGCCCAATTTTCATATAAATTACCCTCTCAAAACCCAAATTAGAGAGAAAAAAAAAAGGGGGGTTTTCTTCGGTTGTTTGACTGGAATGTTAAATCTAGGAAGAAGTTGTTCTCGAACAAGTCTAAATTACCCGGTACAGATTTTATTTTGACCCTTTTGTACATTTTGAACATATGTGTTCATCTTTGTTCTTAATTTTTTGCTTTTCTAATGTTTTGTTTTGTTGATTGAATGGAGAGGAGAGGAAATGAGAGAGAAAAAAATCCAGATTTACAGAAAGTGCTTGATTGGGATGGTGTGAGGGAATTGTTATAACAAGAAAGAGATTGGGATGGTGTGAGAGAAAGAGAGAGAGATACACCAGTGCTGGCTATAGACAGAGAGAGAGAGGAGGTTGGAGTGCTTGAATGGAGAGGAGAGGAGAGGAGAGGAGAGAGAGCACTTTTCGAGCCATTCGAGCCTTCATAAATCGAGCTACGAGACATTTTTCGGAGTTTTAATAGGAGTGAATTTTACTGTGATGTGATATTTTGATTTTGATTTGATTTTTTTATTTTGTGTGTTCAATTAGAATTTCAAAATTAGATTGATGTGTCATCACTCTTTTAATAATTAATTTTGAAAAACTTATTTTTATTTAAACTATTATTTTATCAGGGTAAAGAAAAGTTAACCAAACATTCTTCTAACAGACATTCTGGATAATGATAACAAATAACATAATAAAAAAGAAAAATTGTAAGGAAGGGCTAGGTAAGCACTAAACAAACAAACAGGCAGACAGCAATTTTTGTCTTACTGACAGATGTGGAATAACCACGGGCATCAGTTTGTTCTATGCTATCTAATTTTAGGTTGTTTTCATGAGAACAGAGAGAGAGCACACAGACGGAGCAGAGAAACGCCTACGCCTCCAAGGAAGTGTTGGTATGGTAACCCCCCCCTCTCTCTCTCTCTAGTTTCTTTCTGGGAATAATCTAATCTAATCTAATCTAAACGCTGCCTGTCTTTGACACTAAAACTAATCAGCAGAAGAGAAGACATGACGTGAGTTGGAAGTGCTACTTTAACAGAATTGAATTGAGATATAAACATGCAAACCCTTATACCCCTGGCCTCCTCCTCTCCATTTCTCCCCACATCCCCTCTCAAACCAAATCCCAAACACTTGGTGTGTAAGTGTAGCAGTAATAGTAATAAATTGACACCACATTGCAGCCTGAGAAACCAAAGCACAAAAACACCACCTCTCCGAAAAACATGGCCCTTGATCTCCCTCTCGCTTTTCGCATCGGGTTTCTTTTTGGGTCCGCTGATTGATGGAATTCACTCGAGGGTACATCTTGTAGTCTATCAAACTGGGTCCATTGCTATTGGTCCACTTCACTCAAACGTCTGGGTAAAATCGATTTCATCACATCAGATTAGTTTCACTCTTTTACTAAGTTATTTCCTTATTTGCTTGATGTTTGTGTTTCTTCTAGGTTCCTCCTTTATTGGGATTGTTCTACTGCGCTGTTGGGTTGCTACAACTCTTCTTGGATGAAAAACTTCCCTCCAATGCTACAGAGGGTAACTTTGGCAAAACTCTCATCTCACTAATGTGAGTAGAGTATTATCTATCTACTACTTATAGAAAACAATAATGAATTCTTCTTATGTGATCTTCTTAACTATACGATTTGAGCAAAATAAATAAACAAATAAATAAATTCATTGAAATGCCCTTTGAAAGGCTTTTGAACCAGTTCATTTCCCATTGCATTATCAGCTTTAAAATAACAAACAAGTCTAGTGTATAAGTGGAACCTGAAATCATCTTCTCTCAACTTCCAAATAATTAATTTTTTTTCCAGCTCATTTAAGTCATTTAGTGTGCATGTTTTCCTTTAATCTGTTAGGAAACATGTACATACAAACTAATAACAAACATATATCTATGTTGTTGTTGTTTAACTTCAGAGCACTGGTAATATTCATTGAGCTGAGTGCCGAATTGTACAAAGCGGGAGTAGCAGACAACATTGAAGCCTACATATTGTTTGCAGCGGCCGAGTTTATTTGGGTTTTACTGGATAAGACCTGGCTGGGATTTGCCCTAGCTTCCATTGTAGGCCTTGCTTGCCCTTTGGCTGAGATTCCTTTAATGAAGTAAGTCCTTCTTCTTCTAATGCAACCATCATACATTAAACCATTTAACTGAAACAACTTTAAATAGTAATAAATCTCACTGGCCATGCTCCCATCTTCAAGGTTGTTCCACCTGTGGTACTATCCCCAAGCAAACATCCAACTCTTTGGACAGGTAAATTTCCAATGGTAAAAACACAACCAAATTTGTTGAAAAATCATGTCAGCCAACTTCAAACTTCTTCTTTTTCTTTTTGCAGGGATTAATCACTTGGACAATCACTTGTTATTTTGCTTATACGCCATTCTTGATTAATTTATCCCGTTGGCTGAAGACATTCATTGCTGCAAGACATGCAGAGAACAACTCTGTTTAGTCTAGATCATGTCCCAAATATCATTGAATGGCTCAACTTGAAGTTTTACAAGCTGCAAGTTAGGCAATCCTGGGGGAGACTTATGGGTGCTCCACGATCCGTTATTAAAAGAGCTCATCTTATTAGTAGTGAGATTGTCTTCAGCCTGTTTGAGCCTCAAGGGTAAAACCCTTAATTGAGACCTTTCATTGTAAATTTGTCTACCCTGCAACCCAATTCAATCAATTTCAGTTACAGGCTGTCCTTGACCCATGTTTGGTTCACGGATTTTGGGTGCAAAATAGGAATATATTATATTATCTAACAATAAAATTATTTTTTGTTTAGTTTAATTTTAGTGATTTGGATTAACTTATCTTTAAGTATTTTTTACGTCACAAATGTGGAACAACTTATTCTAGATGATGCTTTTGTTGTAAAATGATTAAAATATCCTCGTCAAGAAATGCTTTCATAATTTATCTTGCTTTATCCTGTCTATGCCTAAAATCTAGGAAAAAACATTAACCAACTTAATAGGCTACCTAATTATTGGATCAGCTTTCTCGCCAAAGAACACAAAAAATTCATGTGTGATTTTGGAGGGAGAATTGAAATTTTATTATTTTAGCCAATAAATCAATCAAATTATTTGGAAGGAGAATTAAAAATTGGAAATATCTAGAATTAAAATTAGTGATCATTTTATCGGAAACATTATTAATAAATCCTATTCACGTCTTTCCTTTCATTTTTACGAAGACACTTAGAACACTCGATAATTTTATTGGTAAATTGTTATGGATCAGAAATTCATGTACAACAAAAAGTACTAAAATCAAACAACCCTCCTCTTAGACCCTTCCACCATGTCTCTCTCTCTCTCTCTCTCTCTCTCTCTCGTTTTCTCTTCTTTGGGATTTTGTTTCATCACGTGATTACGCATTTCTATTCGCATTCAAGCATTAATTGCCTTGTTTATTTCTGATTGAGCTGTGTAGTGAATTTTCCCTGTATCTGTGATAGATACTATCTGATAAATCACCTTAGATTAAGGAGTTTCCATACAACTGTTATCTTAATTGAACTGATTGAAGAGATATCCCTTTGAGATGCACAGTGATTATTGAAGAAAATCGATCTTAGAAAACTTAATGGGTGTTGATTTGAATAAGTGGACCACTACTACTTTTTGCTGCTTTACTGTTTCTCATTTCTGGCTCATATCAGTTAGAGACTTTGAGTACTATTTTATTGCTACGTAAGTGGAGTGGAGCCAAAGTTGGGGTAATTGGTGCCTTCTTGTGGTTTTTGCTGCTGTTTTTTGTTTCCTACACAGTGAAATAGAGAACTGTATAATATGACTGATGCAATCTGATTTTGGTTTCGCATGCACCCAATATCTCAAAATTTGTACTAAACTTTTGTTTTTTTGATGTCACCATTGGCGTTGTCAATTTTTTTTAAGGAAACTAGAACAAAACAAAAATGATTTAAAACACGTGATGAATAGTGATGTTATAGCATTTCTGACCCGTGAACTGATGGCATAATGCCCTGTGGTGCTTAAGAGCCCATGTTCGAGGCTTGAAACCTAAATGGAAGGCCTTTTCTTATTAATTTAACCAGGAAAGTAATTCAATTTCGTTCGTGGCAAGTAACCAGGAAAGTATTAAGACTCTAACTGCATAACTAATTTATAAATGAGGCAGTCATAGTGTTTGACATTGGAATGGTTCATCAAATGAGTAAATCCTGATTATTTTGGTTGCTTGCTTAATTGTCTGTGCTATTTTTATCTGCTACTCTTATTGCTGCATTGGATAGGCAAGCACTATGTAGTATGACTAATTAATTTAAGGAAAACTCTATTCATACATAAATTTTTTCCAAAAAAGTCTACAAGAATGATGTGGCAATACCATTCATGTAAATAAACTTATCCTCATGCATGTATGTTTTGTTTTAGAGTAAAAGGTTCACATTAAGTCACATAATTGTGTGTAAAAAATCTGTTTCTATAGCATTACTCTTTATGTAATTTCCTGCTAAATTTATATGTAGTGCATATTGTGTGTTGTAGTTTTGTAAATGGCGTAAGGCTCTAAATTATAAGTGGCCAATCTGCTGTATCATGTCATTAGACTCGTTACACATAAAAACGGACCATATCATGAGAAAGGTTAATATACGTAGATGGAAATATCAAGGTTATGTATTAATTCTAGTAAATTGAAACAAGGTGATGCAAAGATAATAGCTTCAAAATATTGTTAGGCTATGATTGTAGGATGGTGAAATGGTAATTTCGGCAACTTTTCAACATTGTTTGTTTCGGTCCAAAAGACTAATGTTCTATTTTAAAGAAGACAGTAACTAGTACTGAAGGCTTCACCTCACCTTCACCGTGACTAGTGAATAATTTCTGCCCGATTCCATCATTTAGGCCTTCAATTTTACATATTTGCCTGTTCAGAAAATTTTGTTTTGTTAAATAGTTTGTCGAGGAATTTTCGTTTTAGTCTCTAGTCTCTAGTGTCTTGTTGAGTTCATGGTTGTCCAAATTATTGATAATTTAAATAGCAAAATAAGGATTTATAGTTGCAACAATGAGATTGTACACTAGGGCCATGTTTGTTTGGGCGGACTGGATTAGCATTCCCATGACTAATAGTCCTAGGACTACGAATCCGTTGGATTATGTATCCTATCTTAATTAATAGTCAAGTTTAAAATAATTAGTCCGTACATCAATTGTTTAACCAAACATAGGATTAATAATTTTATTGGACTATTAGTCCAATCTCAAGCTCATGTCCACCCAAACAAACATGGCCTAGAAGGGAGAGTTTATTGCAAGTCACTCTTCACTGTATATCAAGTTAGGCATACCCGCTGAATAGAGCTTACTATTGTTTGCTGGCTAGTTTATGTTGAGAACATCTTGGAACTTTGAAGATGACTTGTGATTCACGTGTAAGTTGGGCGCTCAAGCTTTAGAAGGAAAAGTAAATAGTTGACGGGAAAGGTAAATAGTTGATAGAATATCAGTGAAGGTGAGGATGGTGTTCGAAGGCTTGGAAATCTTGGAGTTGGAGGAGGATATTCAATTGTTAACTTAATAAAAATTTACTACTTTCGAGCCTGGGAGGAGATCAGAATCTGGATCTATGGTAAAAGACCTAACCACCCACTCAACATTTTGATTATTTTTCTTGCTACATTTTGTAATCTCCAACATATAGACTGCTATCTCAGCAACACATGATAACTGGATTCTTGCTGTTCCATTACGAAATTTAGAAATATTTCACCTCATTGCTGGGTTTTTAAGATAGATGTATATTTGTTTTTTCAGTGAGTATTGAAATTCCGTGTGAGACGTTATAAAATATATTTATTATTTTTATCTAACAAAATTAGTGAATTTTTTTAATCATACAACTAACTAATAATAGAAAATAAGCATATAATTTAGATTATATATTGTTATATCCATTGCAAAATAAACATGGACAAGAAGGGATTATTAATGCCATTAATCATGTTGGATAAACGATTTTGCATTAATCTTAGAAATTGTTAATTTTTTTCAATATTAATCTTACTAATCAAATAGGATCAAAGGGTCATACATGTATATTCTTCTCCCAAAATATCATGAAAATGATCATGAAAGATTCTCTACTGTTCGATTACATATACAAAAAAACACCACACACTAATCAAAGGAGGAGCAATCTTTATAAAGGATTTCATGATATTTTTTTTCATAATTCTTAGTATTATTCCTCCCGAATATAAGAGCATATCTATAATGAATGCGTCAAAACATGTGTTAAAAATGTATTATAAGACAAAAAAATTATTAAGTAAATAAATAAATAATATATTAAAATATAAAATGAAATTTAATAAAGATAAAAAGAAAATTTATCTAAAAATAGTTTTAAAAAATTAAATCAACTTAAAAATAATGTCCATTAAAATTCTCTCATGCTAGATATCTCCCATAATATATATATATAGAGTGAGACACAGAGTGAGAGAGAGAGAGAGAGAGGGAAATTAATGTAGTAGAGATACATCATGATTATAAAGGGTACGGCTCACCTAGGAGGTTGCATTGCATTCAAGATGGTTTGTGCCTAAAATAGTCACAAAAGATAAGATAAGTTATTTTAGTCACAACAAATAAAACATCACATCTAATTCATAATCATTACACTCTTCTCTTACAAAAAAAAAATTAAAAAAGCCAAAAAGTCAAAAAAGTCCTTCCCAAATCAAACTTTTTAACCCAGGCTAAAATAATCAAAAAAACCAAAAAACTAAAAAGCCAACCCACTTCCCAAACCAGCCCTTACATTCTGAAAATAACACATAACTGTATACCCAACCAATAATGCTCTTACTGTGTTCTTGAAACACCAAATATCTTCTCTCGTCTCCAAGGAGTTTGCTACTATTGATGTTAGACTTAGACAGTGAGGCCTCGTTTGGGAACCATCCATTTTAGCCAAAAAGTTAAAAAGTTACTAAATTAGTCAAAAAGCCAACAACCCATACCAAAAAGTCAAAGATTCTCTTTTCTCTCTACTTTTTGCACATTTTTTTGTAAAAAGCCAAAAAGTCATCCCAAACATACTAGTTTTTTTTAGCTCATATTTTAGCCAAATAGTCAAAAAGTTACTAAATTAGCCTGTTCCCAAACGAGGCATGAGTAGTAAAATTTTGCATGCTGTTAAAAATTGGCTGCCAATCATGTGGGGATATTAAAACAATTTGTAGCACCGGAGATTTGAGAGAATAGAGAAAAGGGGAATGGAGATTGACAAATCCATTTTGTTCTGTATATAGCCTAATAAGGGAAATTACGGATTAATGATAATTTTAAAAAAAATTATATTTTTAATTATTAATATTTAAAAAATTTATCATTTATTTGTAATTATTTTTTAAAATCACCCTTGAAATGAAATTTCCCCTATATAATACATATTTGTTTCTACTTTTACACTTAATACATACTATAACAACACTTATATGGTCAATAAATTAAGAATTCTTTAACATGCAACATTCATTATCACTTTTTATTATATGAAACACTTTTAACAAATATTTTTAGCAAGCATCTTTGGTAAAATTAATCTAAAATATTAGCATCTCTGCTAAGACTAGCCTAAAATATTTTTAGCAAGCATCTCTTATTTTAGCTAATCACTCTACACTTCAAAAAGTCAAAAAAGTCATTCCCAAATCAAACTTTTTAACCCAGGCTAAAATAATCAAAAAATCCAAAAAACTAAAATGCCAACCCACTTCCCAAACCAACCCTTACATTATGAAAATAACACATAACTGGATACCCAACCAAT